GAGGGGGGTCCCGGCGGCGGCGGTCACGGCCCCCTGTGCCCCCGCAGGTCTGCGAGGAGCAGAAGTGCGAGGAGGAGGTCTTCCCGCTGGCCATGAACTACCTGGACCGCTTCCTGTCGCTGGAGCCCCTGAAAAAGAGCCGCCTGCAGCTGCTGGGGGCCACCTGCATGTTCGTGGCCTCGAAGATGAAGGAGACCATCCCCCTGACGGCCGAGAAGTTGTGCATCTACACTGACAACTCCATCCGGCCCGACGAGCTGCTGGTAACCCTGGGACCCCCCGACCCCACTGATGCCCCCCGACGCGACACCCCCATAGCCGCGGGACCCCGGGGCTGGGGGGAGGTGCAGGAGGCCCGGTCCGACGCTGGCGGATCTTCTGCCCCGAGGGAGGGCGGCAGCACTGCTCAGGGCCCCCCTGTCGGGGGAGCGGGCGGGATCCCAGCCGCCCCCCATCTCCACGGCCCCGCAGCGCCGCTTCGCACAGACTCCCACCACGTTTGCGCCCCGGAGCGTGGCCCAAAAGTGGGCGGCGCGCGCCCTCTAGCGGCGACGGCGCGCGGGCTCCGCACTAATTGCTAAGGCCTGTCCGAGTTGAATTCCAGGTGGTGGGAGGTCTTTTTGTCCCCACTGCTAAGCAGTCTGCTGGATGGTGAGAACAGGGGCCTTTTCACACGGCGCCTTTTCTGTTTTGATCTGGAATCGCGTGGTGCCCCCAACACTCCGGACCCCCCAGCTTTCACCATCTCTCCTCCCACCCCACAACTGCAAACCAAATGCAGAGGCCAGTGACCTGAGGCAGTGTCAGTCTGTCTGTCCAGGTCCCCTTCCACCCTGCCTCACTACGGCCCCCAGGGTCTGACCGTGCACTTCTTTTGATGCTGGTTCACCCCGTTTTCACAGCAAATGGAGCTGCTCTTGGTGAACAAACTCAAGTGGAACCTGGCCGCGATGACCCCACACGATTTCATTGAACACTTCCTCTCCAAAATGCCAGAGGCCGAGGAAAACAAACAGATCATCCGCAAACACGCACAGACCTTCGTCGCCCTCTGTGCCACAGGTAGGGTGGCACCTGCCCCAGTCCCTCCCTTATACAACCAGCCGGCCTCCCTGGGTGACCCTGGCCAATTCTTTGCTCTCTGCCTGGGTCTCCTCATCCGGAGAGATGGCCCCAAGGCTCCGGTCTGGTGAGCAGAGGACTTGGGGGATGTGCTGGAACTAGATGGAGGTGGGGGGGCTGCTCTCTCCCAGCCACGGCCACCATGCAGTGTCGTGGGGATCGGGGTGGACGGCCCAGCCTGCCTGTGTCCAGCTCCTGTGGCTTCCTCACCCCGTGCCAGGCAGCCTGTGGCCACTCTATGCTGAAAGGGGTTTACCTTGGCTCCAGGGCTTGCCTCCTCCCCCCACCCACCTCCAGCCGTTCCCCTGTCCTCAAGGAGCCTGGGCTGCAGGGCCCCCCTCTTGGCCTCTCCTGGGCTGGGCCACCTGCCAGGGGCGCCTACAGGGGTGGGGAGCTCGGCGGCCGTGCCTGTACCACGTGCTCTTGCGGCCAGCAGCAGCCCCAGTGTGGGGGCGGCCAGCAGAGGAGTGGCGGCCTGAGGCCCCGCCAGGGGCGCCACAGCCAGCTCAGCTGAGCCGAGCTCTGGGAGAGGCTGCAGAGCAGCCTGGGCTCAGTCTGCTGCGGTTGGCAGCAGAGAGGCCCTGCCCTCCCTACTCCGGCACTGCCCTGACTCCAGGCCCCAGGCCCCAGGCAGCCAGCTTGTCAGAACCTGGTGTGGACAGACACACATGTGCACACGGTGTTGCCTCCTGCCGCCCCCAGCCCTGCCTCGGACCCCCTGTGACTTCTTCCTTCTTCAGCCCAGGAGGCGTAGTGCCCCAATGGGGGTACCTGCACCCCCATCCCGCCCAGCTCTGCTGTGGCCCACCTCTAGCCCTGGTCACGCCTCAGTTGTCACATCTGTTCGGGGAGTCACTCTGGGTGACCTGAGGGCCACAAGGCAAGGTGGCATCAAAGGGGCAGTTGGCATCTGCTACCATTCCCCAGAGGGGCAGAGCCCCCACAGCTGGCATTTCCAGTGCTCCCCTGACATCAGGTATCCCTGGGGGCTGGTATCCCAGAGCAACTTCTAGTTTAGGCAAGAGTTGGTAAGATTCCTCTGGCCTCCCCAACCATCTCCACCTGCCCAAGGCGTAAACCCCTCCCCCAAGTCCTTCCAAGTGAGGCATTGGGGGTGGGGGGAGAGCAGATGGACATGCCAAGGACATCGTCGGCCTGAACGGCCCTGAGGGGTGGGGGCCGGCCCTGCAGGCGGGCAGGGAGGCGTTCTCTGGCTGGGGCTCCCCGGAGGAGAGAGGCCTCTGGAGGCTCCAGGCAGCCTTTTATGGAGCTGAAAGTGGTTTCAGAGAAACAGCAAAGTTTCCTGGAGATAATGCAAGGAACGGTTCTTGCACAGCCTCTGTCCAGGGTGGCTTGGCAGCTGGAGCTCCCTCCCAGGACCCCTGGGTGCTGGCAGAGAGGGGTGCAAGCCAACCTGACCTGCACAGGGCCGCACTGCCGGTATCTCCTCGACCTCCTCTCAGGGGCTGGGCATTAACTCCAGGGTGGGCCGCTCCCAATCCTGGTCCGTACCTGCCTCCTTGAACGTAACAAGCAGACATCTCATCAGACGGGAGTGACATGAAGACGGCTTAAAGTCAGAAATGGGTGGAGTGAGGTGGCATCAGAAAAAGACTGGCAGGGTGTTTTACCATCCACGTGGGAAGGGTTCCATTTAAAGGCAACATGAGGGGAGTGGCCCCGTCTCCATGCTCCAGCGCCCCCAGACCCAGGTTCCTGAGCACATGTGCACATGCCGTATACACACAGGATCAGGAGTTTTCTTGGTGCGTAGACACGTGCACACCAGGCCCTTTCTTCCTGCTGCAGTAGGTCAGGTAGGACATTGCCGGCGCTGCTCACGGTGAACTCATAACTGAGCCTCATGGAGGGTCCTGGTGAGTCAGCCACTCCACAGAGCTCCGATGACTGCTTTCACGGTGGCCAGCTGGGCCCTTCTGTCCAAGCGGTGAACGGGAACCAGAGGCAGAGCTCCGGCCTTCGTAATTCTGGACTGTTCCTTATCTAACGCACACGGAGCCCCCACCCCGGCCGCCCACACTTGAGTAGGGGAGACAAGCTGGGGAAATAAGAATCAGATGGCTCTAGTGATTCTGTCACTCAGGTGCCCTTTCAGATGGGGACTCGGGGTGCGGGGCTGGTTGGAACCTGCCACTCCCTGCAGAAGGGATTTCTGTGTGTGGTTCCGATTTGCCTCAATGAAAAGGTTTTCATTCACGGCTCCAGCATGCAGACTGGGTGGAATTGCTCCCATCTAAAGTCCTTGCAGCACCCAGAGGCTGGCTTTGTCCACTTCAGGGTGGCTGCCTTTCCTCCCAGTCCCTCGCCGCCACCCTTCTCTTTATCAAGGCTGAAGTTGTTTATTCTCTCAGGATGACGTTGCGGAGGAGCTGCAGCAGCCCATGGGGGCCCCACTCCCCTCGAGCTGGGCAGGCTCCTGTTCAGCTCACCCGAGCCCCCTTGTTGCTGGGCGCTCAGTGGCGAGAGATGAGGCGACGGAGGACAGGGACACTACACTTGTCCCTTGCTGGCAGCCTGCTCTGCTGGGGGCCTGGTTAACATGCTGGAATGGGTGGCCGCTCTCCAGTATTTTCTCGAGTGTGACAAGAAGGCAGGGGGACCCGACTGGGGTGGTGGGAGGCCAGGCTGAGAGGCCACATCCCACGCTTGCCCACCTTCCAGGATGGGTGTCTGGCAGCCCTGGGTTTATTCCCCACTCTGAAGGGGCTTCCCGAGTGGGGGGCCCTCGCTGGCTGGGATCTCAGGAAAGCCGCTCCTGCCTCGGCCCCAGCTCCCCCAGGCTTCCAGAAGCGTCTCACCCCATGACCAGTGGCCAAAACCATTTGCCTCTTCCCTGACTGGGATGTAGCGAGTCACTGGAATTGGTGGGCTACATCAGGTGGCCAGCAAAGCCTTTTTGTCATTGGACAGAAGAACGACAGGGTCGTGGGCAGAGGGCCTGGCATGGAGTTGGGTTTTACTGGTCCATCTTCTGAAGGTCACTGTGAAATTCCACTGGAGGAGGAAGATGGGCTGGGGGAAGGGTTCTTCCCCCTGAGCTGGAGCCCCACCCTCACCATCAGGGCGCCGCCCCTCGG